GAAATAACAAAAAAAAAAAAAATTATGGGAAAATTAAAACCCATTTTGTCCCTATTCTCAAGAATCACTGATATGATATATGGCTGAACCCTGGGTGTTTGGGGGGGGCACCAGCCTTTTTGTTTATTTTTGGCTTGTGTTTGTACTTTATATGAGACATCCACCATCCATCCATTTTCTTTACACCCTTGTCCCTTCGTGGGGTCGGGAGGGTTGCTGGTGCCAATCTCCAGCTAATGTTCCGGGCGAAGTCACCTGGACGGGTTGCCAGTCTGTCACAGGGCAACACAGAGACACGCAACCACACACACTCACACCTGGGGCAATTTGGAGAGGCCAATTAACCTGACAGTCATGTTTTTGGACTGTGGGAGGAAGTCAGGGTACCCAGAGAGAGCCCACCATGCACAGGGAGAACATGCAAACTCCATGCAGAAAGACCAGGGCTGGGAATCAAACCCAGAACCTTCTTGCTGCAAGGCAACAGCTCTACCAACTGCACCACTGTGCAGCCCCTTATATGAGACAATATTCAGAAAATCAATAAAATTTGAATTACCAAAAAAAAAAAATTATAAAAAAAATTTAATCTGAACAATCTAGGGATTATGTTTCTGTGAAATCACATGACCCTTTTTGGTCACATGATTTTGCAGAAAGCAGGCAGTATAAACTGGGTGTGCCGACCCATTTCAGTTTACAGGTGGGAACACCTGGCTGCTCAGCTCTACACAGCTACTGAAACCAACAAGAGAAGGTAGGATTGGTTTTCTATCATATACGATTCAACAGATTATGTTTCAGAGAAATGGGAAATACAACAAAACAAATTAATATCACAATGAATAATTCCTATTGATTATTATGGTTTAAAGACACAAAATACAAAATGTTTCCCCATTTTTAAGTCACTTTGAATAAAAATCACTTACATATGAATAACTATAAATGTTTCCAGCTCATCTTGCATAAAAACTAAATCAGTCTTAAAGTCAAGTGTGAAATTTTTTTATCCAAGTGACAAAAACTCTAAAATCTGATTCAGTCTGTCTTTCAATATTTACAGCTTATATTAAAACTTTATTGAATATATTTATTTAGATCACAGGATTGTACAAAATGCTAAAAAGCATTTTGGATGGTGGTGTTCTGTCAAAGCATAAAAGTGAAAGTAACTGAATCTGGGGTGTTGTTGAAGCTTTCAGGAAATGAACTGGATCTCAGTTGGACATATTGTACATTTGACTTGATAATGTTTACATCCTGATGGCTGTGAACACATGTTAAAAATGCATAAGAAGCCAGAGGAGCTTCTCAGCTTGTCTATGATATGTAAAACTATAACAATATAAATAAGGCAGCATAATTACAGGCATTATTCACACTCTGCATCTATAAAATATTTGGGACTCCACCTCTGATGTTTATGTTTAGAGGCTTAAAGCTAAAGTTAATGGAGAATGATCATAGTGTTTATGTAGAGGCAGAACTGTATCAGGACATATAAAAATGATTATTGAATAAAAATTACATTAAATTTAATATCCACATCTAAAACTGCTGAAGAATATTCAACTATTTGTCCACACATGTTGTCAGAGTGTAAATGTTCCTAAACTTTTGTTCATTTTTATGTCAGATTCATCTATGATTGTTTTGGAAGCACTGACCCTCTAAGTCTCTTTTATTACAAGTTGTCTATGTTTCATATGATATATTTGTCTGATCCTCACAGATTTCTGGCTTGGGCACCAGGATGGCACAGTGAGTAGATCTGGACAGAAAAACCCAAATCATTAAAGCAAAGAATCCTGAATTTCTCCTGTTAGATGAATTCTGTGATTCTCGGCGTCTGTCTGAAGATTGATATTAACACAAACTTAGGCAGCATTTCCAACACTATATCACCCTGAAGCTTGTTGCTGCATGTCTGTTGATAATGTGATGATAGAAAAAAACCCACACATCATCTCATAAAGAACAGTGTTGTGCAATAACAGGTTGGCTTACCTCACATAAGCTACCAGGCAGCATGGAAGGCAAATATGAACAAAGTTAGTAAATCAAAATTACCAACTTGTGGCACCATCTGAATTTCAGGAATTAATATCCAAAGAGCTTTCAATCTTTCAGGTATTGTTTTATGATACCTGAATTTACTTAATTTAACTCTCTTTTTAAATAGGAAGTTAAATTAAATGACCTGCTAAGTCGAAATTAAAAGAAGAAATCAAATAATGAGAAAAAAATAATCAAAAGGAACAAAAAGGAAAAAAGTCAAATTGACAATAGTCAATGATAGTCTTAAAGACTCCCGTGTTGTTAGTTATTTTCTGCCTCATCAGACAATTACTGTCTAACAACCAGAATATTTGATAATGTATCATATATAATCCAGATGAATTTCACTGATAGGCAATAACCCATGAAACAATGCTGAGATTTCACAGTTCAGTGTGAATGTGTATGCTTAAGAACCAAGGTTTGTTCAACTAGTTCACAAAGCCAAAGATAAAACTGTAGGCACTTTTCCCTATTTTCAGTTAAATCTTAGAATTTAGATTATTTAGTTTACTTTTATTTGCTTATTTTCTAGTTGATTTACAATTAGAATCTTTGTTTAATTTATTATTTAGAATAATTTCTTTGATTAGGAATTCACTTAATTAATTAATTAACTTCAGGTTGGTATGTGGGTATTTCACGGTATAAATAGGTGTGTCTTAGGTAGCTTATGTGCGGGTGGGTGGTCATAAGCTTTTTACCAGTCACTTCAGTCATCAGCCATCAGTCAACTAGCCAGTCTATGGAAACAGCCAGTCTCAGTCATCAATCAGTCTATCCCATCCGTTAGAGAACAGGTGCAGGTGTCAGAGCAGGGGAGCAGTAAAATCCTGTGTAACTTGTTTTGCCTGAACTTTGGAATAAACAACCGAGAACTGCATTTTGACTTTTTGATCTTTTTGGACTGCGTAAGCTAAAACCCACAATACATCAGGTGACTATTTTGAGTTGGATTCACTTTTTGATTTGATCACCTTTGAGTCTTGAGTTTTTTTATTTTTGAATTTAAGTTTTGGGGACAAATAGTCACTACAAAAATAAAATATAATTTTAATATTCTGAAAGTAGCTAAATTACTGTGTAACAATGTCAGCTTTGGTTCTGTTGGAGAATATTGCTTTGGAGGGAGTGTGTATTCAGAGACCATTTTGATCTGCTGGGACATGTTGATGGTTTATTCTCCTTCAGATTCCCCAGCGCGATCCTGGAGCCCTGAGCAGAACTTGCCCCAGCATGTAAGAGGGAAAGTAGAAGGAGCTGTGCGTTAACGGTTCAGTTTGATTTGGGGACAAGTTGAGACAGTCGTTCCATCAAGCCATACCAGCTTTGTGAATAGAAAGCCACTCCATTCTTTATATGTGCAGTTTATGTGCACAAAGTGTCTGATAAATTCAGTGGCACGTTGGCCTGGTACAACACAATTCCTCTATATGGAATAAACGTTCCCCACTCATAACAAAGGACTCTCTAACATGCTGTGTGTCTTTAAATCCCAGCTGAATGGTCTGCTGTTCTACACATTCTATCATTTTACTCTCTATATTTTATTTTTCTTGTTAAATTCTTAGCTTGTAAATAGTTCTGCTTGAATATTTAAGGTGACATTGTGTATTGTTGGAAAGTAAGGACCTTTGCCATGGTTACTGGGACACGTGGAGTTAGCCTTCTGGGTATTTATACTAATTAACATGAGTATTTATGGGCGGAGACAGGGTGGACCAGCAGCTGTGCTCCATTTCATTCACTCTGGAATATATAAACGAAAGGTACGCACCTACATGAGAGACGCTGAGCCTTGCGTTGTTCACGGGCCGCCATCTTTTGGGTTGTTCGCCCAATTTTTTGCCATCAAAAGATTGGGTGAACATGAATATGATGTTTGTAAAGGATATAATGAATTATGTTATTGAACCGTTTACATGTATATGTAATTTATATTTTTCATCAGGTCCAGACAATATGAAAATAGCCAAGGTAATTCTTCTTTTTAAGAGTGGTGAGGAATATATCTTCAACAATTACAATCGTCTCTCCAGGACCTGCTATTTAGTGTTTTTTTTTTTTAAATCTATTTCTTACCAGATTTTTTTTTCCAGAACTGCACCGCGTTGTTGTGCTATAGCAGACATGAGCTTTTGGACCTGTGGAGCTACAATATTAACACTTTTATCGCCGATCTTCGACTCATCCCAGAAATCTCCAGAACACCGGAGGCTGTCCACTTCTCCCGCCCGAGTGAAAGTGCACGCAGACGGCGAAGAGACCGTAAACAAAGGCGGGGTAGGCGTGGAGGGGTTCGAGCTAGGCTAAAGCTAACACCACACCGGCTCCCTTTACCCAGCATTTTCCTCGCCAATGTCCGTTCTCTGTCCAATAAAATGGACGAGTTACGACTATCCATCACGAGTGACAGACGGATTATGGACTCAAATGTCATGTTTTTCACCGAAACATGGCTAAATAACAGCTGTCCGGACAATGCTATCCCGCTAACTGGACGCCACACACACCGAGCCGACAGGATGGCAGATGACTCCGGTAAGACCAGAGGCGGAGGCTTGTGCATTTTTATTAACAAAGCTTGGTGCACAGACTCTGCTACTACCGAAAGTCACTGCTCACAGAATGCGGAGTTTTTAATGGTCAAATGCAGACCTTATTACCTCCCAAGGGAATTCACTTCAATCATCCTCACTGCTGTGTACATCCCCCGGATGCTAATGCCAAGCTAGCCATGAAAGAACTCTATGCGGCCATTAGCAAACACCAAACCAAACACCCCGAGGCTGCCTTTATTGTTGCGGGTGACTTCACCTACTCCAACTTGAAGACAGTCCTCCCCAGATTTCACCAACACGTCTCCTGCCACACCAGAGGAGACAAGACCCTGGACCATGTCTACTCCAATCTGACTGGAGCTTACAAGGCGACACCCCTCCCCCACATCGGACAATCAGATCATCTCTCCCTGTTCCTCACACCTCGGTACTCACCACTCATCCAACGTGTGAAACCCACTGTGAGGACAGTAAAGGTGTGGCCAGGGGGGTCAGACTCTGTGCTCCGGGATCGGTTCAGGAATACAGACTGGAATACTTTCCACCACACAGACTTGGATCAGTACGCCTCATCTGTACTGGACCACATCTCCACTACCATAGACTCCGTCACTACCCATAAATGCATCACCATGTTTACCAACCAGAAACCCTGGATGAACCGAGATGTTCGTCTCCTGCTGAAGGCCCGCCGCAACATCGCCTTCAGGTCAGGGGATGCACAGACCTACAGTGCAGCCAGGGCTGAGCTGAAGAGGGAAATCAAGAAGGCCAAACACCACTACAAAAAGAAGGTGGAGGATCACTTTTCCAACTCCAACCCCCGACGTATGTGGCAAGGCCTTCAGATTCTCACAGACTACAAGAATCTCAACACCTCACCCGCCTCCTCTGATGTCTCCTTCCTCAACAAGCTTAACAACTTCTGTGCTCGTTTTGAGAGAGGGAACACCACAACTGCAACCAAGGCAACCACCACCTCAGACCAAAAGCCACTGATTCTCCTCTCCACTGACGTAGGAGCGGCTCTGAGCAGGATTAAATCCCACAAGGTTGCGGGTCCTGATGGCATACCTGGACGTGTCCTCAGAGCGTGCTCTGAGGAGCTGGCAGGAGTGCTGATGGAGATCTTCAACCTGTCCCTGGCCCGCGCTGTGGTACCGACCTGCTTCAAGTCTATCTCCATCGTCCCAATTCCCAAGAATTCCAACCCAACCAGACTCAATGACTACCGCCCGGTAGCCCTCACCCCCATTATCACTAAGTGCTTGGAGTGGCTGGTCCTAGCAGACCTCAGATCCTGTCTCCCCCCCACACTGGACCCCCACCAATTTGCATACAGACAGAACAGGAGCACAGAGGATGCAGTCTCCATAGCGCTGCACTCTGTCCTTTCTCATCTGGACAGCAAGAACACTTACACCAGAATGCTGTTCTTAGACATTAGTTCAGCATTTAACACTGTCATTCCATCACCACTCATTACCAAACTCACAGACCTGGGATCAGTTCACTCATGTGCAACTGGCTGCTCGACTTCCTGACCAGTCGACCCCAACATGTCCGGCTGGATAACCACTTCTCATCCACCATCATCATAAACACCGGAGTGCCACAAGGCTGTGTGATGAGTCCCTTCCTCTACTCCATCCTCACCTACGACTGCAGACCTGTCCATGGCTCAAACGCCATCATCAAGTTTGCAGATGACACCACGGTGATCGGCTTCATCAGAGACAACGATGAGGCCGCCTACAGGGAGGAGGTGGACCGTCTGGCTGAATGGTGCGACAAAAACAACCTGCAGCTGAACACAGAGAAGACCAAGGAGCTCATCGTGGACTTCAGGAGGAACGCTGACCTACACCCACCCATCCACATCAAGGGGACAGAGGTGGAGCGTGTGGACAGCTTTAAGTTCCTGGGGGTCCACATATCCGAGGACCTGACCTGGACGACCAGCTGCTCCAAACTCATCAAGAAGGCACACCAGCACCTCTTCTTCATGAGGACCCTGAGGAAGAACCATCTGTCCTCAGAGATTATCACGAACTTCTACCGCTGCACCATCGAGAGCATCCTCACCAACTGTATTACAGTTTGGTATGGGAACTGCTCTGTCTCTGACCAGAAGGCGCTGCA